ACTATCAGTTAGTGACAGTTTCTTTGGAAAGAAGAAGATCCTGATGACTGAAGCCAGGGATCATCCATTCATCAGTGAAAGTATTTCTTTTGATCTCAAGATGATAATCAGTCTCCATTTACGTTCCCCAGGTCTCTATTATTTTATACCCCATATCTCTATCTTTCCCCACTTAAATGATTTAACTTAATTGTGGCCCATACAGAATCCATTACTTATCTTTACCCATCACCTTCTGAATCACCACTTCACTCTGCTCAATCTTTCAGTTTTTGTTTGTGTACTTTCTGAATAAAGATGGGAGGAGCACACCCGATTTTGATATGTTTCTCCAGTGGCGCAGTGTTTGCCCTCTTTTTCTCTATTAATAAGCATAGAGATTGGACTGTCTTTTCAGGGAAATCTGCTGCCTGCCTGGGACCCAAATTAGACATGTCACCAGATGACTTGAGTAGCTTAGTACAGCTTTTAGACTGTTATCCACCCCTGCTCTTTCATGTGGATACTACTGATGTTGCAAGAAAAAGTCTAAAGTTGATCAAAAGAGATTTTAGGGCCCTGGGAAGAATGCTATAATATTCAGGAGCACAGGTAGTATTTTCCTCAATCCTCCTAGTAATGGTGAGATTTTGGAAGAAACAGACAAGCCCAAGATACAGATAGCTGGCCCTAGGCCTGGTGTTTCCACCAAAACTTCAGGGTTTATAACCTTGTGCTCTGAGGCACAAGGTATAACGGAGCCTGACAGGATCCATCTGTCCCAGTAGGGGAAACATATCTTTGGCTATAAGCTGACTGGACTGACAGAGGGCTTTAAACTAGAATCACTGAGGGAAGGGGATGCCAACAGGAGAGCTGAAAGTAAGCCAAGGGTTGTCATGGCATTGCCCAAGGGTGGCCATGCTAGCAGGAGTATTTACACTGCTCTTGAGAGCATGAAGGGTTCAGGAGTACATCTGAAATGCTCATACACCAACACACGCAATACGACAAACAAGTGGGGTGAACTGGAAGTGCTGCTCAGTTCCCAAAGCTATGATCACAATGGTATTAGTGAGACGTGGTGGAATGAGTCCCATGAGCGCTGGGATGAAAGGCTACAGGCTGTTCAGAAGGGATAGGCAGAGCAGGCGAGGTGGAGGAGTTGTGCAGTATGTAAGGAGAGGTTTGACTGAACAGCCCTCACAGTTAGCAGTGATGTAGTTAAGAGCCTTTAGGATGTCCCGCTTGACATCCTTGTCTCTGAATTGGGGAGACATCAGTTTGATAGGTGGACCACTCAGTGGAGAAAGAATTGGCTGGATGGCCGCATGCAAAGAGTTGTGGTCAATGGCTCAATGTCTGGCTGGAGACCAGTAACAAGTGGTGTCCCTCAGGGATCAGTGTTGGGACTGGTCTTGTTCAACATCTTTATTGGTGACATGGACAGTACAATTGAGTGCGCCCTCAGCAAGTTTGCTGATGACACCAAGCTGTATGGTGCAGTCGATACGCTGGAGGGAAGGAATGCCATTCAGAGGGACCCTGACACGCTTGTGAGGTGGGCTGATGCCAACCTTATGGCTGGGGCTTTTCAGCCTGGAGAAGAGAAGGCTGCGTGGAGACCTCTTAGCAGTCTTCCAGTATCTGAAGGGGGCCTATAAGGATGCTAGAGAGGGATTCTTCATTAGGGACTGTAGTGATAGGATAAGGGGTAACAGGTTCAAACTTAAACACGGAAAGTTTATATTGGATATAAGGAAGAAGTTCTTTACTGTCAGGGTGGTGAGGCACTGGAATGGGTTGCCCAGTGAAGTTCTGAATGCTCCATCCCTGGCAGTGTTCAAGGCCAGGTTGGACAGAGCCTTGGATGACATGGTTTAGTGTGAGGTGCCCCTCCCCATGGCAAGGAGCTTGGAACTAGATGATCTTAAGGTCCTTTCCAACCCTAATTATTCTGATTCTGTGAGGATTAAGGGGATGGAAAACAAAGCAGATATCATTGTGGGTGTCTACTAGTGATTATCCAGCCAGAATGATTGCCTGTAGAATAACTCATCTGTGCTATCAAGAGAAATCTCTGAATTAGTAGCCCTTGTTCTTATGAGAGACTTCAACTTTCCAGACATCAGCTGCGAACACCACACTGCTGTGACAAGAAACTCTAGGAAATGCTTGAAGTTTGTGGAAGGTAACTTCTTCTCACAAGTACTGAGTGAGCCAACTAAGAAAGATGCCCTCCTGGACTTTCTATTTGTGAGTAGAGGAGGACAGATGCGACATTAGGAAGCTTTTCTTCACAGTGAGGGTGGTCAAACACTGGAATGGGCTTCCTAAATAGGTGGTTGATGCCTCAAACCTGTCACTGTTTAAAAGGCATTTGGACAATGCCCTTAGTAACAGACTTTAACTTCCAGTCAGCCCTGAAGGGGTCGGGCAGTTGGCCTAGGTGATCATTCATAGGTCCATTCAATGGTCTATTCTATTAACTTTCAAGTACTTCTTATAATTCTCATTTTTTCATACTGAGCCAACATTTTCATGAAATTATAAATGCTAGGATCTCCTTTCCCAAGCTTAACAGTCCACACGGGGAGCAGATGGGGAGAGAACCAACATTTTTTTAACATAAAGAGTTCTTCCTGTCCATTACTGCAGTTAAGTCTCAGTTGCAATTTTATGAGCCAGCAACCTGGTAATAGGAATTTCCATACTTCTTCAGAAAGCCCTGATCTTTACAACCCTGAACAGTCAGCTGAATTGGTACTTGCACCCCTTACCAACTCATTTAGTGCAATACTGACCAGCAGTTGTCCAAGTATCCCCCCTGTGGAATACCACTCTGACTTCTGCCTTTCTGAAGGCATTGCTAAATCATTTTAGTCTTGCTCCATTTCCAGTCTGTTAACCAATCTTTTAATCCATCCATTCAAGCACCTTCCCTGATGTCCCAGGACTAGGACTGCCTAATTCTCTAAAAGCTTTTCAAGAAGAGGTCTGGAAATTCAAGTAAATGTTTTGAGAATAGAAGTAGGAATTTAGTGTTCTCCTGAATTGCCGTACCTGAATCACCATCTCCTGAATCACTCACAGAGTTCAAGTTATCAAAAAGAGAAAAGCTGAGCATGTACAAGGAAAAAGTCTTAAACATACATACAATTCAGTAAGGGAGTTTATAATTAGACTGCAAAGGGAACCACCAGATATGTTGCCAGTCATGAAAGTAAATTTATTATGAATTTTGGATTATTTGTGACTTCCAAAACAAAAAGAAACCCAAACCCAAACATCCTCACCAAAAAACCTTGTTTGTTTACAAGCCTGCATTCCTCTCAACTCTCATATCTCTGATGTAGTATTCTCTCTCCCTCCAGCTGAGTAGATAGGAAAAGTTTCCATTGCTGGTGATTGTAACCTAAACACAGAAATTATAATTTCCCAGATGTAAAAAAATCAAATTTCTTTCAGAGAAAAGTTTAGGGATCCAAGTTATCCAAGACATGACTGTCCAAAGGAGAATCCTCAAATGACTGGCTTGGCAATGCTAAAGGCATATTGCAAGGTTTACTGACTGCTGGCGCGCAGCTAAGCTACTACTGATGAGCATGCATTCAACGCTGTTTTGTTAAGAAGGTACTGAGAGAAACACCAGGCATTTTTCCTGTTCTGAGGCTGGCAGCCACTCCCATGTAAGTATCCAGCATAAATAATTGAAATATTAATCATGGAAGCATCTTTACTGATACTGAAAGTGTCAGTAGTCTGCCCTCTGGCATTTCAAAGGATCTACAGAGCTGTGCACCTGCAGACAACATATTTGAACCTGGAATAAACACTGATTATATTTAAAAGACATTTGATAGCCTTCATGAGAAGGCCTGGGTCCCTGGGCCTGGCCAGAGCCATGACTACAGTTTACATAAGTCAGAAAATGATGGTGGCCCTTACAGGCTCATTAACAGCTCTCTACAATAAGACTGGCTGTGTCAAGACAACTTGATCATTCCGATTATTGTTGTGCTGTGCCTGCTCTATTACAATGTTTACACAGGTTTAAGGACTGCTTATTTGCACTAAAATAACTATTTGCTTTCTAGAAAAAAGAGGTACACCCAACAGATAATAAGCAAATGGACAATGAACACAGACCAAAGATTCTGGATTAACAGCAACATTTTGTCTGCAACATGAGCTACAAAAAAGACTAAAATTTGCTGCATGAATTAAGTAACTGAAAATATAATAGCTTGCTCTGTGGATAACACAGGAACCGCTCATCAAATCAAAACAAAGTACTGCTGTCTGCAAACATTACTGATATCCATAGCAAGATGTCACATGTCACAGGTATCTTTTATGTATGCACTAAAATATCGTACAAATGCACAATACCATACACACATGCAAATGGAGTTATTGCTGAAGAGCAATTATTTAATCACAGTGAAATTTTTGGGGCATTTAAAGTTATTACACAATATTACAAGTATTTTTATGTACATGAAAAGTCACTTCAAGAAGACAGATACTCTCATTACTTCAGTATCCTTCTGTTGCCACAGTTTGACAGATGCTGTTGAAGTTAAGTGTTCATTGATACGACTGTCCTGTTAAAATAAGGCTAAACAAAGCCTTGATGCAGAGTTGCATTATGCCTTAAATGCAGAAAAAAGATGTAAAAGCACAGCTCTTAATATGAAGGACAAAAACACTTCTGATGATCAGACAACAGACAGGGTAACAGACATTGGGGGTGGGGGTTGCCAGGAGGTTTTGGAGCTGTAATCCCTCCCCCCCCAGCATTATCACATTTCATCTATTATCATAAGCCTAACTTGCACAGCAAATTCCATAACCTTGACCTAAGATGTGATAAAAACCTGTGGAAAAGTCTATATGCAGACATAAGACTGTTCATGCAGGATTTACTGGTAGCTTATAGATTTAAGAGGAGATAAACCCACTAACAATGAAAAGCACAAAACACAATGGTGTGGGAAGGAGAAACTACCTACACTTACTGTGCACACATGAGGCCAGTTCTCAAGCTGACGGAGCACTGCTGTGCTGAGCTCCTCCCAGTATGTTTCCCGGTAGATCTGTGGCATCTTTGACACCCAGACACCGCTGCTGCACTTGCTCAGAATCTCCTTTATGCGACCTTGAATTTCACTCACAGGAGCAGCAGAAGGGCCAGAGGCAACAGTATGTGTCTCCGCAGGGGATGTATTCAAGTTATCTGATAAACAAAAATACAGCCTTGAAGTAAACACAGACTCATCAGCAGAGAGAAAGACAGATGATTACCTACCTACTTAAAAATAAACCATGGGAGCTCCCAGCATAACACCAAAACACATCTCTCCCGCCCAGTCACTTTCTATTGGAAAGAGCCATGGAAACCTGAGATATTTAGTTATTGACCTGAAGCTGAATTTTCAATCACTGCAGTTATTTTCTTCTGATGGGATCCTGGAAGAGGTTACAGAACTCTCATTCATGCTGTACTGAGGCATCATCCCAAGAGGGAATTAAGATAATATCATTATGAGTACAAACACCACAGCAAAGACACAGGCAAACATCCAAGGATGTTGCTCTAAACTCAGACAGAGATACAAAACAGACCAAAGACTTGGCTTTCATTCTAAGATATATGTCCTGAAGAAAAGTTTGAACCCAGGACCCAGACCTCCTGTGCTCCTGCATCCAAGGAAACCTGCCAGTGGAGCAAGGAAAGAGACAGCAACTATTCAGCTGCTTTGGACAGCTGTATAACATTGTGCGTAGGAGCAGGGCAGTCATTATCCCAGCTGGAAGTTCGTATCACTGCTGCCTCATTAGTACTCCTCTCCTCCCTTTTGAGGCGTATAATTGCTACCAGACTTGAAGCTTCACAGATCAGCCTGACAGGTCTCAAAGAAAGCAACTGCACAACTTCTGGGAACCAGGCACATAGAATAGTATCTTCTGGACAGGTAGTCCAGAAATGTGTTGCTTACACCTAAAAGCCGGGATTTCACTCTCATATACCAGACCCCTACCCTGGCAGTGAAGTTATGCATATTCCTCCTGTTTCCAAGCTACTCACACAAGCTTTGTGATTAGCTTTGACACTCAATACAAAAGGGTTTTCCTATAAGACAGAGGCAGACAAGTAAACACACATTTTTCCCCAGCACCATGAAATCCAGAGTGAGAAGGTTCACTCACAGAACTTAGTTTCTCACCCAAACCTAAGTACCAAGATGGATATTTTTCTTAAGACTACACCCAATCTAATGTGAATAGGTGACAAAAATTTTCTTAATGGGCAAACATACCATTTGAATCTACAGAAGAGCTTCTGGACAGGTGGACTTGCAACTCCTTTTGAAATCGTGGTGGGACAGTTAGTCTTTTCTCAGGCCTACAATTGGAAATAAAATTGCTTTAAATAATTCTCCTGGCTCTGAACAGCCTTCCATTTGCTTCCAAGACCTGTACATGAAATAAAATTTATTTCACAAGCTTCTAGCAAGCTCCCTGCACAAGATCAGTACTCACAATGTCCTGTCTTAGAAGACAAGCTGACTAGCAGTAACAAGACAAATCAACAGGCGGTTTCTAATTTTTTTATTCTCCCAATTATTGCAAAAAACAAAATACATAGTAAAGAGACATTAGCAAAAGGAAAGCACCTAGGTCTAATAAAACAGTTGATGGTCTTACAGTTGATACATGCAGCCTCACTTCCTGGGTGTTAGTCTGGATGGCATCCCAGTCTTACTGTTGAACATGACTATGCTCACCTTCTTGGGCATCATGACAGAGTCTTCCGAAAGTATCTGGCTTCAGAAGTCAGAGGAACACCTAAACTACACAGGAACCCAAGGTATTTTTGTGGATGCTGTTGCTACACCGTTCAACAGATTCCCCTCTTAAGTGGTCACCCATAGAAAGGACACAAATCTGACATTTGCAGGTGTCCTTTTGAGCTCCCTCAGAGAGGAGTAGCTTATACAGGGAGCACATGCAGCACAGTTAGCTCCTGACAATGAAGAAGTCACAGCAGTGTGCAGCTCACTATGACAGTTTTGGAAACAGTAAGCTATGGAATAATTACCTACACGAAAAGTGAAACAATAAGCTGTGGAATAATTACATACACTGCAAGTGTAAGGGAACAAGAGTTGGATAGAAGAGTTCAAAGACCAGGATGAAGCACCTCTCAAGGAAGAACTGCAGTGGAGAAGTCAGGATGGCAAATGTTCAAGAACAGCTCTCCACAGAAGCATAGCAGGCTGCTGTGAACTTGTTTCCCTTGCTTTTTTACTGTCCTGTAAGAAGAAACTACTGCTCCTCCATCAGCTATGGGGCATTGTTTGTACCAAAAATCACATTTCTTATCTGTGTTGTGTCCCACTGCCTTAGCAGTGATGACAGCCACTGCCCAGGACAGCATTTTCCAAAGCAGGAGAAGCATGCCCAGAAATACCGAGCAGAAGATCAACAACAAGCACATTTATGAAAAACAAAGAGGATGAGACTCAAAAGGTACAAAACTCATCCACACAAACCACAAATACTCATTCATACCTTCCACTTGTTGGGTATCTGAAAAGACTCTTCCACCTGCCTCACAGGAAAACCCTCTACCTCCTGGGCACAACTCAGATCCCCACACAAAGCAGCATAACAATCTTCTCTTAGAAAGTGTGATGTGACTGCCATGCAGACCCTATAAGAAATCCAGGGTCCCATCTCCCTGTACATGTATTTACCAGTATGGACAACTCTAAGCTAAGGTACCCAACAAGAAAGACCCCTTAAGGGACACACACTCAAAAGAGTCTACCACCAGTTTTGTTTGCTAGGCAGCAAACGAAACAATTCCATGAGCTAGCTAATGGAGACTGTCCTGCTACTGCTGCTTTCCGGTAGGAATCCAATAGCTGTGATCTAGTCCTCAGTGTCCACGCACCATTTATACCACCTTACCACTCGTGATGTGGATGCCATGAGTGCAGGGTAAGCCATCAGAAACTGCAGTTTCAGTGAGGAAGAGGGCAAATGTTCCCTTTCGAGTCATGCTATCTGGAACACTTCAGAAAGGAACTGGTAGCAGAGAACTGATGATTCTCTTATGTTGAGTGAAAACTAATTGGATTTGGGATACTTTCAGTATTAAAGAGACATCATGAGGTACCTTCCTATGGTTCCTACTGTGGCTCAACAGCTCCCCATAGAACAAAGCAGTGATACATTACCAGTGAGCTCAGTTATCATCAGTTTTGAGCCCTGCAATCAGACAAGAATCCTGTGACACACTGCTTGCTCACACAGACTGTGGTGGTCTTATCTCTCCAAAGATGGGATGTAACACAGCTAGGCAGTGGCCCACCCAACACACTTCTCCCCAGCATGAAGGTATGGACAACTCAGCTGCCTCAAATTTCTCAGCTCCTAGAAACGGGGCCCAAGCAATAAGAGACCATGCTCATGACATGAACTTAACCAAGGGATTGCTGCCACAAATCCTCTGAAGTCTCAGTCAGGACCAAGCCTAGCAGTCAGCAGTGGGGAACAAAGACCTCAACAGACCAAGAGCCAGGCCCCAGGGTGCTCAGACATGGGGAAGTAAGTGGGGCAGGGTCAGCACCATCTCAGCAATTAGTCTCACAGTGCTTAGCTCAAAGGCGACCTGAGGTGGAAGGACCTGTGGAACAAATCTCTCCTGCACAGCTGGACAGCTTGGCCCTTCTCCCCTCTGCACAGCAGCCTCCTCAGCCAAGGAGGGCACAGAGCTGCTGACAAGTTTCTCCCGTGCAGCCTCACCCAGCACACCCAGAAGCGACAGAAGGGGGGCAGCTCGGTCCACACTTGTGTCATTAGAGCTCTGCTGCACATAGAGAGGACCGTTTGGAGCCTCCTGACAATTCCTGGGTGCATCGCTCCCCTCACCTGCCACATGCAGCACATCTCTCTTCCCTGGCCTCTACCTCCACACCCTCTACTCTTCATAGGCCCTCTGCCGGCTCCTCTGGCTTCCTCCCGTCTGCCACTGCTCCCCTCTCGCCCGTCTCAGCTCTACAGCATCTGGCTCAGGCTGCCAACACCACCTGCCTCTTAACTCCTCCAGATTTATGCCCGGGCAAGTCCAAAGAGCATCTGCTGCAGCCACAGTCCAAGTGCCCACGGACACAGGAGTGTCTCCTGCCCTCAAGAGCAACCCTGCTCTAGAGATCCCTCTGGCAGCCCCAAGGCTGCTCCCCATCCCCAAGGCACCGGCCAACTCAATCAGCATCAGCACCACCAGGGGCTGCCCAAAGAGCACCACCAGCAGAGAACAGCCACAGCAAAGGGCAATTTGGGGAGCAGCAGGAGGGTACGAGGCGGCGCTACCAGCCAACAATAAACCGAAACCTGACGTGGCTGCTGCTCCCACGAGAGCTCTGAGCACATCCTCATCTGCCCCCCGGCACCCAGAGCCCTGGCACACACAGGGTACACGCAGGCAACGGGCACAGGACACGTCTGCTTTTTGGGGGTGTTCCAGAACAAGCGGCACCGCGGCAGGATTAACCCATCCCTCTGCTCCGTGCCCCTGCACAGCTCCACCGTGGTTCCCATTCAAGGCAAAGCTGGAGGCTGGCTCACAACCCAGCCCGGTGACCGGCACAGGATTACTGCCACAATCACGGCTCCAGCGCACTCAGCGCAGCCACAATGGGGGAGCAGCAAACGCGTTCTCACCACCATCAGCTGATGGCCCTGGGAGGCCCAGAACAACACAGCAGAGAGCTGATGGGGCAGCACTGGATAAGCCCCCCGGATTAGAGAGGCTCAAAGGGGCTGAAAGCAGCACGTACCGCTAACCCAGCACAAAGGCAGCTCCAGCCCTCGCCTCTTTCACCCAGACACAGGCAGGCAGCTGCTGACTTCCAGCGCCCCAAGAAGGGTCCCAAACACCAACGCTGCCACTGAGAAGCGGAGAGGTAAAGCGCAGCCACCTGCAGACAGCCCCAGCCCTCAACACACAGCATCGCTCGTCACTACACGCAAACCTCCTCCCGTGCTCCATTGCACTGGCCACAGCAGCCCCCTCCTGCACCTGGGGAACAGCAACCTCCCCCCTCCCTCGGAGTGCCACCTTTGCCCACACTGCTCCCCACAAGACACGGGAGCAGCCAAGAGCACAGGGTGGCGACGGCAGCATCCAAAAGGCAAAGGGCACCTGCCTCCCTCCTGGCTTCTGACCCACAGTCAAACTTCAACTTCTGCAAGGCAGGTGCCTCGATTCCCACGTCCCAAAACACACTGCTGGCACGGCACCATCCAGAGTCCACCACACTTCATTTCACCTCACACACGCACATACACTGACCTGTTGACCACAGTAACGTGTCTCTGCATGGGCATTTCTTTAGGTGGTCCACTCCCAGCACCTGGTGACAAGGCAAGACGGGCACTCTCCACAGTGGGTTTCACCACGCCACCCGCCACTCCTCTGCTTCGTGGCAAGCGAGGAACAGGCCTCTTGCTGCCTTCTTCTGGCACGCTCAAAGACCTGGGCTGTCTCAAAGTTCCTTTGGGCTTTCCTAAAGAGTTTGCAGACACAGCTGTGAGTTCATGCCCTCCTCCACCCAACCCAAACAGACTTCAAGCGCAGCAGGTAACTCTCCCCACAGAATCCATACTTCTCCAAAACACAGTTACAAAGGATGCTCTCAACCACGGTCTTGGGTCTCCTTGCTTCAGCACTGTGGCTCGCATCCAAGGACTCACAATCTCCACCACTGCACTGCAGCATGGAAAGAGACTGCAGACCATCTCCCCTTACACTCTCAGAAAAGACACTTACTCTGAGATGCCACATCCTTTCACCTTTCAGGTGCGACCCATGGTCAGGCTGCTCTCTCCCACCCCTTTCCTTCTGTAAGGAAGCGAACCCCTCCTTACACACAAGAACAGGGGAACACAAACAAACTCTGAGGCCCACTGTTGCTGCCAGCAAAGCTGCCTACTCGCAAGCAGATGGGCCTTGTCTAGGCCTGATGCTGGGAGATGCCACTGGCAGCAACACAACAGCAGGGAGGGAAAGATCCAGAGGCTCTGGGTCTTACTTGCATCTTACTTGCTCAAGAAGGGCTTCCTACCGATCAGGGCCTGCAAGCACAAGCGCCCTCATCAACAACACTGCCTGCTCCCAGGAACTCTTCACCAGGACCTCACAATTCCTGGCCATCACTGACACAGCCTCACAGGGAAGACTTCTGCTCCAGCAGCTGCACACCCCTTTCACAAAGGCAGACCCTCCACTGCTGCCTCTGGCTCACCCGCCAGCTTGACTGGGGACGTGTTCTTCAGCCTCATTTGGCAGTTCACTTGCCGTCCCGTCTTCCTCTTGGAACTCCTCTGCCGGGCCACCAGCTGAGCAATTGGCTCAGTCTCGCTGCAAGCAACAGCATGGCAAATGACCTGGGGGAAAGGGGACAGAGGGAAAGCAGTCAGTAAGGCCCAAGCTCATCCACAGCCTGCACAAGGATTTCCACCCGCTTCCATGCCTCAAACTGCTGGATCATGCCAGTCAAGGCTTCAGCTGCCAACAAAGACTTGGAGACCTCCCTCTCCTTTTGCAGCAGAGAGCAGAGCAGCCAGCACAGCCTCTCTGTCACCTTCCCACATGAGCTTGGGCCCCACCAACAAACAGCCTGCTCTGTCACTCTCATCCCACAGGCTGACCATCTCACTTTACAACACTGGCGAGCCACAGCCTTTCACTTTGCCACTGCTCCTCCTGCAAAGGCTCGCCAGGGCCCCAGCACCGCCGTGACCCTGAGGAGGGGCCTCTGCCCCACTGACCCAAGAAACAGCACGGTGCCCCTGGCTGCACAGGCTGTCCTACAGTTACTGCGCTGGGCATCAACAACAGCCCCAGCTTGGGCAAGTAAGGCAGATACCTCCTCCCTTTCAGGCCTCCCAGAAACCACCATGACCTTTCCAGGATAATCAAGAGTGCTCTTGTAACATCAGCCAGCTCACTGAGCACCTATGAGCACACTGCAAGAGACCCATGGACTTGCGCACTTCCCGTTCTTTGAAATGTTCCCTAAACTAATCTTGCCACACTGAGGTCAATCTTCCTTGCCCTGCACTTTTTCACTGGTCTCAGTAGCCTTGGGATTACTCGCAGCTGATCTTACCTGTGAAGACCAAGGCAAAGAAGGCAGTCAGTGCCTCAGCCTTCCCCATGTCCTTTAAGACCAGGTCCCTGTTACCATTTCTCAGAAGACATACATTTTCCCTAGTCATCCTTTTGCTGATGATGTACTTGTAGAAACCTTGCCTGCTGCCCTTCATGTTCCTTCTCAGAATTGGGTCCGGATAGTCTTTAGTTTTCCTAACCACATTCGTACACGTTTGGACAGCATCTCTACATTGCTTCCACCTCACACAACTCTGCTTCCTCCTCCTGTGCACAAGCTTCTAATTGGAGAGGTAAGCCAGGAACTCCTTGTTCATCCACACGTGCCTTCTGCAACCTTGCTTTCCCCCCAGCCCCAGTTGTTGAGATGGTCCGTTCTTGAGATTGGAGGAAGCAACCCTTGAAAATCCACTACCTCTCCTGGTCCACTCTTCTCTCCAGAACTGTATCCCACGAGAGTTCCAAGCAGATTCCTGAAGAGAACAAAGCCTGCTCTCCTGATGTTCTGGCTTGTTGATACTGTTATTTGCTTTATTCCTCTCCTTTCAGGCTCCTGAACACCACCTTCTCGTGATCCCTGCAGCCAGGGCTTGTCCCCAGCCTTTACATTCCCAAGCAGTTCTTCCTTGTTTGTAAAAATCTGGTTCTGTAGATCATCTTCCTTCATCAACTCCTCACTTATGTCAGGACGCTGTCATCAGCGCACCCCAGAAACATCCTGGATTGCTCATGCTTGGCTGTCTTGTCCCTCCAGCAGGTATGGCAGTGACTCTAGTCCTCCATGAGAATCAAATCTTGCAAATGTGAGACTTGTTGTAAGAAGGCATCATCTGCTTTATCTACCATTTCTTTCTGATAAGGCTGTGTGTAAGAGCCAGCCACCATGCTGCCCATACACTCGTCTGTCCGCTACCCATAAGCTGCAAGCTCTTGATGTGTCATCATCCATCCCAAGGCAGAGCTCTGAGTGTCACCATTGCTCTCGCATTTGGAGGGGCTCACAGAAACTGCCACCTCCCTTTCTGTTACAGCCCAACATTCCTCAGCAGCCATCTATCCACAGCAGCACACCAGTTGTGTAAGCTGTCACAACAGAGAGATGCCTAACTGTGCCCATTTCTAGAGAAGGGTATGAGACTTTTCTTCATATTTCCTGGCTAACTGGCATTTCCCTGATTATAACATGGTTGCACGTCCATGAGGGATGGACTACCTGCAGCCCTCCTCTTTTCTCAAGATCTCAAAAGAAAAGATTTTTGGTTCCTAAACAGTTTATCAGTTTCATAAATGCACATTTTAACATCTTTCATACACTTTTTTTTCATGTCACTAATGTAAACTATTTTCAGCATTTTTTCCCATTGTTTTCACATCATAATGACTTTAGCAAAAATGATATTTTGAGTTTGAAGGAATTCAGATGTAAAAGGAGATGAGGTGGATGAATTTATTTGCACCAGAGCAAAGCAGTCTTCAAACTCCTCTTTTTGCAGAGGCTTAGTTATTCAAGCAGAAGTCAAAGTTTTCTTAGAGAAAGGTGCAACTGTATGCTGCTTGTAACTGATTGTGAAGCAAAGCAAAGCAGGGTTCCTTGAAATGACACAAGCATCTCTTGCAGGTGCACAGTGTTTCAGTTCTAGACCCCCTGCAGTGTTTTCTGTACAGTGAAATTACAACATATCTATCATTTAAAGGAATAATTGTCAGTGTTCATCTTTCTTATATTCAAGAAGACTAAATTAGTGTTCAGTAGTAAGAACAGGGGAAAATTTATATCATTGCCTTCCCAAGACAACCAGACTCTTTATCATCAGGCAATACTCACTTCACACAGATCCTTCAAAGAGCCTCTAACATTTAGCACTCTGGAATTTATTTGTATTACTTACTGGTCACTTTACAGGATTGCTTGTTGAATGTATTTTTTGGTGGTATGTTTTGGACGGCTGCCTTAGCAGTAAGCAAAGCCCAGGTAGTTACCAGCCTACACCAGTGCATAATCACACTGCCACTCTTGGCTGAGTGTCTACCCAGGGGGCTCCAAACAGCAGCAACAGGAGGGTCACCAAACGGCGATGCTTTCACAGAATCATCTAAGTTGGAAAAAATTTAAAATCATGAAGTCCGAATGTTAACCTAGCACTGCCAAATCCACCACTAAAAATATCTTTAAGACTCTCCTGCCCCCCAGAGGTTTGCTGGGTGATTGCTCTCAGTTGATTCAGTCAGAGCACAGCACTGCTAAACCGAAGCAAGCCCTCTTCAACTACCTCAGAACTCCTGTTTAGTAGCTCTCTCCTCTTCCACCTCCTAAAGGCACATTTTGTTCTCTCTTTATACCTGCCACAGGGAAACTGCCATCCAAGACTCCATCTCTACCGCCACACAAGGCACTCAGCACACACCGTATTAGAGGATAATCAAAGCTCTCAAGGCAATAGGATACCAGATTACACCCTGCAGGGCCTCAGAAAGAGATGGCTACCTGCCAGAACCAGTACAACGAAGCATAAAATTGCAGCATCACAAATGGTCCTAGAGATATATGCACTCATGTTACCAGTGTAGCTGCAGCTGACAAGTGAAAAAGAACCCCAAACTTTCACACCTGCTGCAAAAGGGCAAATTTTGACAGCTGTAGAAATGCAGCACGAAAATCTCTTGCTTAAAAGCAGCCATGCTTCCAGACATCAGCACAAAACCCAGGACACCTCTCATCACACTCCTCACAGCTAACCAGAAGTCCTAGTTCTGAGTTCTCAGAAGCCACTCCAATCCAGCTGAGCCAGCAAGGGAGCTCAGCCTTAAGTCCTGCCTCTCCAGACCTGCTGTGACAGTCATACATGTGCCAAGCATCTGCCAGCTTTCTCCTTTCTCACAGTCTATATAGACTTCAGGAACCCAGACATGGTTCCAGCAAGGAAGAGGCTCCGAGTTCTCTAGTCAGACAGATTATCTACAGGCCACACAGCTACACCAACCATCAAGAGAATGCCTCTGACTCAAAACCACGAACTAAACCGCTTCTGGACAAGGAAGAACATGGTCCTGGCAAGCTGCTTCCAAGCTGGCAGCCACCAGGAGATATAGGCTACAGCAGCAAGGCCAAATAATAAGAGAAAACTCTCCCCCACACTAATACTCTCTGCTGAGCAATGCTCCACCTTCTCCTTGACCTCTGTGCTGACTCCTTGTCCCTTGCACACTTGCTAAGCTCCAGCATTGCAACTCTTGAAACAAGGCACTTCTCTTGCATGGGCTCTTCCTCACGCTGGCAAGTCTTCAGTTCTGTGGCACTGAAACTCATGACAAACAAGACTGCTAAAAGCAAAGCAAGAGCTGTCAGGCTTATAAAATGTACTCACAACAGTTTCACAGTAAGAAAAAGGTGATGCTAAACCCCACCCTGAAGAGCTGATCAAGACACATACAAGTTAACCTTTCACGTCCCAGACCAATCCATAAACATCCCCTCCAGAATTAGAAATGCTGAGAGAGGGAACAGAGTTCTACAGTATCCCAAAACCATCTTTCCAGCAAGAATTCACATTTCCAGGAAATGCCTTGCAACCTTCCACCTTTTGCAAACACAACTTCATGGCTGGCATAAAGAAGCAGGAAAATAAGAGGCACTTGGTCTATGCCATAGCTTTCTCTTTCCCCAGGATGAGTGCACCACACACATGCCACAGTACTTTTTTCCAGAAATGGCACGAGCAGAGGTTAAGTTATGAACCATGCACACTTTACATACATAAAAGCCAATTCTGAACTGTAACTGATTCTTACCTCTCCCATTTTGCTCCCTTCCATTCTGACCACTCCTGGGATGCTCTCCAAGTAGCCTTCCAATGTGCCATATCCTAAGTGCCTGAAGGGAATCCACTCACCAGTCAGAGATTTGTATTCACCCTGAAGCTCTGACAAAGGTACACCACTTTTAAAGGGATGAAGAACAGCTCGCAGTGTTTTTGCAATAAGCTCAGGCTCCTGCATCTTCACCTATAGGCTTCCCCATCCCAAAAGGAAAAAAAAAGAAGGCATTTTTAGACAGGCTAAAAAATATTGACTTTTACTATACAACCTCCCTCCCCAGACAAGCAAGGGTTCAGCAGCTCAGTGGCTCATCTTTGCAGGCTTTGACACCTCTGGGGTAGACTTGCAGAATCCTGGTCCTGCCATGCAAGCATAGGGTGGTATGAGACATACGGGGCATGCCATGGGTGGAAAAAGCTGAAGGAGCACCAGCCCCTGTGCATGGGCTGGCCCTGCTGGACAGTCAAAAGAGACCACGTGGCCAGAAGGGGAGCAGGACTACAAGGCAACTAGCCAACCTCGCTGCCTGCAGGGCCAGGACTGCCACCAGAAGCGGGGCAGGGACCCGCCACCCCATCCTGGTGCCCAGCTCCCTCCACTGGTGCCCCACAGTCATGCCAGGTGGCTCACCACCACAAACTGGTGGTGAGCTCTTCTCTCACACAAACCAGCATCTCTGCACCAGTGACCATGGGGGCATGTCAGCTCTGCAACAGAAACCACATGCACACAGGCCATGCCACATCTTACCACAGGTGCATGATGCCTCACCTCCACAGATGTCTCTTCAAAGAGAAAACCCAACAGAAGTGAAACCCACTGCCGAGAAGCGGGGCTGCCCACAGCAGGAGTGCCGCAGAGCCAGTGCTGACACTGCCCCATCCTGAGAAATGCTGTCCACCACCACGGCAAAGGTGCAAGCAGCCTGCTGCTTCATCTCTGACAGCACTTTCCACAATGCCACAGGCTGGCAGGGCGCTGGCGGGATGCTTCAGAAGATTTACCTGCCAGCAAGGGCTCCTGCCTGGGAAAGCCAGGCAGGGCATGGCAGGAGGCGGTTTCAAGGCGGGTGCCAGAGCTACCTAAAGCCCTCCCACTTCCTCAGCTCAGCTGTACGCACACTCAGTGCTTCTCCAGAGCCTGCCAGCTATGCTCACAGAATGCTGGGGAGCCGGAGTGCTGCAGGCAGCCTCTGTGCTCCTGGGCAGGCGCTCCTCTCACAGATGCTCACTCGCCACAGGGACAGTTCCAACAGAGAAACCTCCCCACCACGACTGCGGACCTAAGCCTGACAGCTCTCGGACAATGCGAGACCAACCCTGCTGCTTTCAAAGCGAGTGCTGTAAATCCTAACACTGAGCATGCTCATGTGCCTGAAACACCTCATCTTCACCTCATCTGAACACTCCAGCAGCTAGTGTACAACATGAGTGGAATCAGTGGATCAGGACAAAGTGACCTTGCTCTCCTCAAGCCTCTCTAAGCTCAGACACAACAGCAAAATCCCTCACCACCAAGCACATGAAGGCCAGGAACTGCCACTCCAAATGGCCGCAGCACCAGAGAGCTGCCTAAAAATGCAGGACTGCTATGCCAGACTACCTATAAAGTTAGCCTCTGCTGCTCCCTGCTGATGGATCCGTCTCCCATCTGCCTCCCTTTTCTTAAGCGAAATCACCCCGGGCAACACACAAAGCTCAAAAAGAACAAAAGTTCCAACCCCGACCATTTCAGACCCATTCTACACATTTCAGTCCATACACATACAGGAACAGGGTCTCTACCTTTCTGCATCCAACTTCACGAGAGCCCAGCTCAGGTGCCAAGCAAGTAGGCACAGCATTAAGTCCTATTCTTCACTGTTCCTCGAGCAGTTTTACTTTATACACACAGAGGACTTCACTAACCTGACCGTATCTGTGTGTGTGTACATGCGTATATCCTACAGGTACACCCATATACCTACACCTGTACACCCAGCACTGCATATATATGTATTTACACATGCATGTTACATTGACTCAACAATTTTTGCCTTCCCTGTGCTGTGTGTTTCACTGAGTGACTTTGGAACAACCTTTACCATAGCTAGTTTCACAGCACCCCTTGCTTAACTATAGTCCACATGGTTACTGCACCCAGGAGGAGAAGCACACACTGAACACACGTACTTGCACACCTCCAGACAACAATGGGCAGAAACTATGCTGGGTATATGGATTCTACCCTCTTCCTTTTAGAAACTTATCAGCTGGTGAACAGAGCTGTAAAGAGTGAGTCACCCGCCAGAACAGAAAGACCCCGGAAGCCCATATCCACTCGGTGTCATATGACATCATCTGCTGAATAAATGTGTTAACTGGTTTAAAGTTTTGTTCACGTTAAAAACACAGACACTTGAATACTGAGAAGCAAACCAAAAAATGCATTTTTGTCTGCTGTTGTGTTCCAAGCCAGAGACATACAAGAGACATGGAAAATTCAGTTAGAACAAGTTTGGGGGCCTTTTTCTCTCATTTTTATTTTAAGTAATATACCTAAATTCTTACTTAATACTGCTCTTGAAAGTCCTACCTGAACTACCTGAAGTTAACTGCTCAGGAGAATTTAACACAATAGACATTACAACTGGGCAAAAGCGCCCATGAAGAAAACTTATAATAACCTGGGAGGGCAACTTAAAAAGTTGATTCAAGAGAAGAAACATTAATAAAGAAAGAGGGTAGAAACATGGGGGGACAACATCGACCCACAATTATATAGCTCTAGTAGTACGCGAATACTAAAGAACTGAGTTAGACCAGAAAGAGCAAACGGGATACCGTAAAACATATCCTCCTAAGTTACATAACAAGGAGCAGTCATGATGGCAATTCACTCAGTTAAACGAGATGACAGATACTACGGTACAAAGGTTAAACTGAATGCACTCTTCAGCTTACACCTGAATGACGCTCCCATTCCTACAGCTAGCAATAACGCGGAACGCTCGTAGTGCAGTAACGGTGACAGTAAGTCACTGATACATTAGCAGAAACCTTCACAGCTCGGAGTGGCTCATGAAGCCTTTTTCACACTTTTTTTGTGGCCAGCTGATGTAAGGTTAGATCATTCAGCAGTTACGGCTCTCACCCAGCGGCTGGCTGTCTTCAGACCAGAGGACACGGCAATGGAAACACAGCCCAGGCAGCCTCTACCAACAATGCAGGGCACATCCAACCAGTCCGTTCCGGCATCAGAACTCAAAAGTTTTTTCGGTACGTTAAAGCAGAACGGCCTCCGTGTTGCAGATCACTGCTCCGTCTAACAGACAGAAAAGGAAGCGAGGACAGTTTTCCTGCTGACAAGTATGAGCTCCCTAATAGCTATACTTCTAAAAGGCTACAAACACAACCCTGTGGGACACAAGTCCCCTCGGAAGGCACAGAGCTGTCACTAACCCACTGAAGCCGGGACGCTTTCACAAGGGAGCCATCGAGGAGTAGCAGCCTCCCTCTGACGGGCAAAGCCGGCCCTCCGCACTGCCTCTCCCCCCAGCACGGGACGGCTTAAGCCGTGTTTCCTTACCACCACCTCACCCCGGCGGCTCTCACACACCAACCAACGCCTCGTCGCAGCCGAAGCGAGCGCAGCCACCGCCGCTCTCCCCTGGGTGCCGGGCGCACCAGCAACACCCACTGCTTTCCCAACCCCGCCCGGCACCGCCCACCCGCCTCCAACCGCCCACCGCGCGCATGCGCCGCTCCGCGCCGCGCCTCCCCGCCCGGGCCAGCTCGCGGCGCATGCGCCGCTCCCGCACCGCTCCGGCTCGCGGCAGGCCGAGGGGAGGTGGGAGGGGTCTGAGGCGGCCGGAGTCGTGGGGGGTTGTGTCGGGGCACCCGGTGGGGGTGGCGGGCACTTCCCCGGCCCGGTGTCGTCGTGCTTTCCTATGAGCTAAATGCTGAGTTGTAACTTGAGACCGCTCTGTTGAGAGCAAGGAGGGCTGGTGCCGCCTTGGGGTATGTATAAAGCGAGGGTAGCCTTTGGCCATAAGGCGGGAGTAACCGTGACAGATGGGGAGGTTCACCCCTCCGGAGACAACCGGCTGTGATGATAAGAAAGGAGCGACCAAGGCAGACTGGGCCGGTTCTTCAAGATGAGGGACAAATCAGAACAAACTGACCTAAACCACAGACACAACTGTTAAGCAATTCATAGGAGTCTTTTTTTTGCACATGCACAGGTGCAGAGGTCAGTCAGTGGACACAGTGAGGAAGAATATCAGCCACCATCAGTGACTCCTGGAGACCGCCACTCAGAAAGCGCATGTGTAATTAAAAATGCAAATACTACAATAAGTTGTAGGAAATCTAATGAATATGTGAAACGTTTCCCAGAAAGGTTGTAAAGGGCAAGGGCCAGGTGATATATAGCTGAAGAACTTGTCTGGACAACTTTATTCTAATTATTTTATTTTATATTTTGTTTTCTTCTAATCTTTTTGTTCAGGGGTAAAATAGCAGCAGGAGATACCCCAGAGCATCCTCACAGCACAGATTGTTCACTTCCTAAAGAAACTTCAGTTGTAGAACCTAAAATACACTTTTTTTTTAAGAGTTGTGGGAGAGGTTTTCTACCTGTAAATGTAAATCCCTTGTTTCTGGTAGTCACTGCCTGTCTCTGTTCAGGTTTCTTGGTGTTGGTACAGGGGGTGGGTGGGAGAACATCATTTCCTTACCCACAGGAAGAGCAGGAACGCTCTCCTCGCCCCACTGCAGTGCTTCAGAGCTGGGATAAGCAGCTCCTCTTGTGAATATTTTAGGAAGTGCAGCAGGAGGGCCAGGAGACCTCCATGGATGGATAAGGAGCTGCTGAGGAAAATTCGAAGGAAAAAAGAGGCTTATAAATGGTAGAAGCAAGGACAGGCGGCCTGGGAAGAATACAGGGATGTTATCCAGGAATCTAGGGACCAGGTTAGGAAAGCTAAGGTCCAGTTAGATTTAAACTTGGGTAGGGATGGGGAAGATAACAGGAAGGGATTCTGTAGTTACATTGCAAATAAGACAGACTAGGGACAACGTGGGCCGTCTCCGGAAGCTCGCAGGAGAACTGGCTACCCTAGATTTGGAAAAGGCTGAGGTTCTGAATGACTTCTTTGCCTCAGTCTTCACTGGCAAAGGCTCTGACCACACCACCCAAGTCTTGGAAGGCAGATGCAGGGACTGTGAGAATGAAGACTTTAGGCCCACTGTAGGAGAGGATCTGGTTCAAGATCATCTTAAGAACCTGAACGTGCACAAGTCCATGGGACCTGATGAAATCCATCCATGGGTCCTGAAGGAGCTGGCAAATGAAGTTGCTCAGCCACTGTCCATCATACTTGAAAAATCATGGCATTGGGTGAAGTTCCTGATGAACGGGAAAAGGAAAATATAATCCCCATTTTCAAGAAGGGGAAAATGGATGACCCAGGGAACTACAGACCAGTCACTCTCACCTCTGTGCCTGCAAAATCTTGGAACAGATTCTCCTAGAAGGCATGCTGAGGCACATGAACAACAAGGTGGTTGGTGACAGCCAGCATGGCTTCACTAAGGGGAAATCCTGCCCAACCGGTTTGGTGGCCTTCTGTGATGGGGCTACAGAACTGATGGACAGGGGTAGAGCAGTTGCTGTCATCTACCTGGACTTGTGCAAAGCGTTCAACACTGTCCGACACGACATCCTTGTCTCTAAATTGGAGACACATCAATTTGATAGATGGACCACTCGGAGGATAAAGAACTGGCTGGATGGCCGCAAGCGAAGAGTTGTGGTCAATGGCTCAATGTCCGGCTGGAGACCAGTAACGAGTGGTGTCCCTCAGTGATCGGTGATGGGACCAGCCTTGTTCAGCATCTTTGTTGGTGACATGGACAGGGGGATTGAGCGTGCCCTCAGCAAGTTTGCTGATGACACCAAGCTGTGTGGTTCAGTTGATATGCTGAAGGGAAGGAATGCCATCCAGAGGGACTTTGACACGCTTGAGAGGTGGGCAGATGCCAACCTTATGAAGTTTAACCATGCCAAGTGCAAGGTCCTACACCTGAGTCGGAGCAATCCCAGGCACAGCTACAGGTTGGGCAAAAAAGAGATTCAGAGCAGCCCTGCAGAGAAGGACTTGGGGGTGTTGGTCAATGAGAAAATGAACATGAGCGGGCTTCAGTGTGCGCTCACATCCCAGAAAGCCAACTGTATCCTAGGCTGCATCAGAAGGGGCGTGACCAGCAGGTCGAAGGAGGTGATCCTGCCCCTCTACCCTGCTCTCCTGAGACCTCACTTGGAGTATTGTGTGCAGTTCTGGTGTCCTCAACATAAAAAGGACATGGAACTGCTGGAACAAGTCCAGAGGAGGGCCATGAGCATGATCAAGGGACTGGAGCACCTCCTGTATGAAGATAGGCTGAGGAAGTTGTGGCTGTTCAGGCTGGAGAAGAGAAGGCTGCATGGAGACCTCATAGCAGCCTTCCAGTATCTGAAGGGGGCCTATTAGGGTGCTGGGGAGGGACTCTTCATTAGGGACTGTAGTGATAGGATAAGGGGTAACAGGTTCAAACTTAAACAGGGGAAGTTTAGGTTGGATATAAGGAAGAAGTTCTTTAGTGTAAGGATGGTGAGGCACTGGAATGGGTTGCCCACAGAACCTGTGAATGCTCCATCCCTGGTGGTGTTGAAGGCCAGGTTGGACAGAGCCTTGGGTGACATGGTTTAGTGTGAGATGTCCCTGCCAATGACAGGGGGGTTGGAACTAGATGATCTTAAGGTCCTTTCCAACCCTAACTATTCTATGATTCTGTGATTCCAAATGGGCATGTTTGTTGTAGACTTGAGGCACACTCACCTTTGTGAAATGATTTGCATTTGCACCCAGAACTGCAACAAAGGATGCCTGCTTTCTAAAACACCAAACCGAGTCTTACAGAGTTTCTTTGAGTCTTTTGCGGCAATACTCTGACCTTGGTCCTGCCGCATGGCAGCTGCTAAAGTCGCCTGCTTGAGTGATGGACTAAGTAATGACAGTTAAGTGTGTCTCTTCTGCAGAGATCACAGGTTTTAAATTAATTCGCTTAATTCCCTCAATTTCTGAGTACTGAAAACTGAATTTACTTCTATGATCTCTCTACTGACGTCTCTACAAAACCAGAACACAGGTGCACTCTCTGTTGAGGAGGGACTGGTGGGTGCGCAGGTGTCCCTGACTCCATGGCAGCCTCTCGGTGGGGCTCT